CCTCCCATGGGATGCTCCACCTACCCCCCCCAGTCTGAATTCACCAGCCATGCCTACACTGCATACATTTTTACTTCCTCTTCACTTCCACAGCTGAGCTGCCTTCTTTCCCATTTCCAATGATTCCTGTTTCTTCACCAGCCTTAAATGTCCGGCAAGCATCACCAGACAGGGTCCCAAACAATTCACCCAGAATTTCTCTGTCACCTCCTCTCTCAAACTGTCGCATATGATTAAGGCCCAACTCTTCATGAAGTGGAGGTGGACCAGGTTTGCTTGCATCTCATCTGCATATACATTTTTGGAGGATTCCAGAACTCACAACATAAGCACCTGGTTCCAGTCATGAGTGTGTTGCTAATTAGCACATGGATACTTTGTGGCGGGCAGGGGGGGAGTTACCTGGAATAAATACACATACTGATCGGTGCTGAGCTGTGAGGTCACCACAGTTTAAAACAACACCCAGTCCAGTGAACTACAGGCAGTCCTTGTCTTGCAACCTTTCGAGTTACAATGTTTCACACTTACAACGTTTATAAATTGACACTCTGTTTCAATTTTATGACATCAGTTTTGATTTTACAACGCTTGATCTGATGCGACACCACACCAGTGAACAAGTTAGCTGTGTCGCTCATCTCCCTGGAGAACATCTGTCCAAACTTCCTTGGATACTTTCTTTAAGAAAGCAGACAAGACTCCAGAAAAACCTGCAGCCAAGACTCCTGAGAAGACTCCAGCCAAGAACCCTTCAAAAAGTCCAACCAAGAGCCCTTCAAAAAAGTCCAGCAGCCACCCCAAAGAAATCCTTCCAAATTAATATGCTTCCTATTTATAATATGGATACATTAAATGTAGCTATATTACTCACCTATAATTGATGGAGTACAGAATTCTGGGATAGTTTTGGTGAAAACTGGTTCGTGAACCAAGGCCTGATACCCTATCTCCCATTTATAACATTGTTTTCTTATGAGAAAATTGATTCCAAGTTACAACGTTTCAACTTAAGACGCGGTTTCCAGGAACCAATTGTGATTGTGATGCAAGTCCGAAGACTGCCCGCATGTGGTAAATCATGAGTCTTTTGGCTTTGGACTAATATGCATAACTTATACAAGTAGGTACAAACACACTGCTTAAAAGTGTGTTTATGGGGTACCTGTGCTAAAATTTGCAGCAGTTTCGAAAAAGGCAAAAATGCATCAATTCTAAGTCTATGGGTACCTATAATAATTTTATACATATTATTACAAGTATTTTTATTTTGAAGTCAGTGTTTTCACACTGCCCCTACTTCCATGCCCTCAGAGAGAGCAGGGACTAACAGTAAGGAGGTGGAGAAGTG